AGCATCAGCTCTGGGCTTTGCTCCCTGGATCCTGTAGGCATTGTGGGACTTAAACAGAAGTGAAGCAAAAACAGTTTGCTTTGGGCAGAGCCTGGCTGTATTCTGAGGGGTGACAGCTATAAATCCAGCCTCCCTAGGGGTCAAAAATCAACACTCCCCCCTTCTTGTACTCAAGCGAGTGATATGACGGTGATAAATTGCTTGGGCGTGAGTGCCCTGAGCACTGGTATGATGAATTATGTTGTTCAGGGCATGACCAAAGATTCTCTATTGTCAGTCTGTGATATCCAGTATTGACAATATTCATAAATAGCCTTCTGCCAATTTTGATCTCTTCTTTGCATATTAAATTCTCTGCCTACAGGCCATGGCTCTTGGTTCTTAGGCAACTCTGTTTTTTTTTTTTTTTTACTGAGTTCATGTAGATAATCAGCCTTTTGTTTCTTCTGCTCCTTCCTTGTTAAGATGGTGTGAGGTGTGCTTAGTTATGCACAGTAAACACTGTCTTACTTCACAGAAACTGTTAAAATAATAATTATTAGTCTTTTTCACTAAATCTGCAGTAATAACAGCTTATTCTACAGTGGCTTAATTGGGTAATTATTTGGTGTTTGAAAGGCATTTTGAACAGAATATTGGTAAATATTGTTGTTAATTTAATGCTCTTTTGTGTAATTAAAAGCCATGCCTCCACAAAATCTTCAGTATTATTGAGAATCAACTAAAATTCCTATCTTGATGTTGCTTACTCTTAACTCTGTATACAAAGTATGCATGTATTGATTTTTAAAATATTCTAAGTATTTTCCTGAACTCTCAAATCTATCTCTCGCTCACCCCATCACACTGCTAGCATCTCCTTTTCCTTCGTAGCTCACACATCTGGAAAGTTAAATGCTGTCAGTAGTGTCTCTAAAAGCCTATAGTCCTCACCCCAGTTCTGACCAGTTCCCCTCATACCACTGATCCTCACATTATGTGATAGCTGTTTAACTTGCACATTAGCTTCCTAGTTTGTTTTGTCTAAGGGCATGCCTTCAACTCCCACCTGATGCCATCAGAATGTGTCACATCGTGTTATGTTGAAGAACGCAGTCTGGCCTGCCTTCCCTACAGCATCACCACTCCATTTATAGAACCCTGGACCTCTAGGATTAGCTAAAGGGCTTTTCTGTAGTTGATGCCCCCACAGTATTGGACTATATTTATTTGTTCACAAAATATCACAAACTGGGTGGCTTAAAAAACAGAAATGGATTTTCTCACAGTCAAGAGATTGGAAGTTCAAGATCCAAGTGTCAGCTGGGTTGTCTTCTCCTGAAGCCACTCTCTTTGGCTGACAGATGGCCATCCTCTTCCTGTGTCTATACATTGCACCTCTCCCCCTCTGCATGTCTGCATTCTGATATCTTCTTATGAAAACATCCAGTCCTGTTGGGTAAGTGCAACCTTGGCTACCTTGTTTAGCAAAGTTCCTCTGTAAGACCCTTTTGTTAAGCAGTCTTGTTCTGAGGCACTTCAGGTCAGAAATTCGAATGCCAAATGCATGAATCCTGGGGGACAGGATAATTCCAGTGTACTATGGTAATGGTTTCCTGAAATGACCACTTTTAGAGTAATTTTCTTTATCAAATGTGAGCTGCTAAGTGATGAATGTAAGTCCCTGGAGTGTTCTTTATTCAAGAACTTCTCTTGAATGTTATTTGAAAAGAAACATTATGCCTGTGACTTAACATTGAAATAATTAGACAAAAATGAAGCAACATCATTCAGTGAATTAGGCAGAATTTATTAGACAGTGTGTATATATATATATACATATGTATATATATATATATATATGGTCAACTTTATACATTAGCAACCACCATTCAAATATTTCCTTAGTAATTTGCAAGCATTTTTTTTAATTCAAGAATTTTCTCTAAATCAAATGTGCTGTTGGGTGTATAGTAAATTCTAGGCCAGGTTGGCCCTAAGTAAATAAATAGAAAACGAAAGGAGGGAAAAGGAAAAGGATGGTATATGTTGCCCTCAGTGATTCAAGATGTGATGCTTACAAGCCTGAAAGAGATTAAGTTTACATCTATCTGTTAGATAATTCTTAAGTAAGAGCAATGGCTTTAGTTCTATGATTGTCAATTTTCATGTTTAACCTGATTGAATCTGGGATCACCTAGTAGACATACAAGCATGCTTTTCTCTGAGGGAATTTCTGAAGAGGATTAAGTGGGGAAGACTCACCCTGAATACCGTCTCCTGGGCTGGGGTCCTAGACTGAAAGTGAGCTGAACACCAGCATTCATCTATCTCTGCTTCCTGATTGTGACGCTGCCTCATGCTTTTCCTGGCATGCCTTCTCCACTCTGATGGGCTGCACCCTCAAACCATGAGCCAAAGTAGTTTCTTCCTCTTTTTCATTGCTTCTGGTTAGCTCACAAGAGTGAAGAGTGTAACTAGTACACACTACCCACTGTTACACCTAGAAAGCACCACTGGAATCCCTATGTAAGGAGGCTCTGGGAATGTCTTTCCTAGCTAAATATGTTTGCTATGTCCATGACTTCCACAACTCAGTACTCTTCTAGCTTTCCAGAGTCTTGGCCTGTGGTTTCTGGAATTCAGACTTTTACTTAGCAGCTTGTTCATTTACCACCACCCCAACCAACCATTGAGCTTTCTGCCCAGGGCTTTGTCTAAAAACTACCCTCTGCTGTAGCAAGAGAAGTCTTAGAGGTTGACATTAGGCAAGAGTGTGTTCTTCAGAGGGGTGATTTTCTGAAGCCCAGTCCTCATCTGTCATTTGCATTGTATTTCAAGTTCTCCCCCTGGACCTTACTGGCCTTCCGTTTGTTTCTCATGCCTGATGTAGAGTTCCATTGATTTCTATGCTGCTTTGAACTTGGCTCATTACCACTCAGTCAAGTATGTTTTTAAGGATGGTCCACTTTCTCCTCTCTACTAAATATCTTGTAGTGACTCAGTTCCTCTGATGTTAGATCTTCTACTTCAATGACTGGCATTACTGAGACTTTGTTGTGCTATTGATGAGGCAAAACAGAAGGAGAAGGCTCTTGTGCTCAGTGTTGCAGTGCCACCCAGCCTAGTCACCCTTCATTTCTCCTCAGCAGGGTCTTTCCACTCTGTTTACAAGTCTGTTGTGGTAGACAGAGGAAAATAGTTCAAAGAAACAGTTCCAGATGTAAAATGCTTTTCTCAAAGATTCTTTAGATTTCTCTTGCTCTTTTAAATTTCCTTTAACCATTAGACTTGTGCCATATGTAAGAACATTCTCAATTTTCTTACAATGGGGATCTTTATGAGTCTATGTTACTACTGTATGGTTAACAAATACATGGAATTTTATAATATGTTATTGAAAATACAATACAATATAATGACATTGCAGGGTGTGTGTGTGTGTGTGTGTAAGAATGTTTATATTTTGTTACCTTTTTTGTTTGTAACACCCTATCCAAAATAAGCTTATATTATTTATTATTTTCAATGCGATAGTTTCACAGCATTTTTATATTTTGTTTTACTTTTTTCTCTTTGACTTTGTTTTTGGTGCTGGGGATCAAGTCCTGGACTATGACTACCACTGTGTTATACTCCCACCCTCAGACACTATGGAGAATTCTTGTGTGTAGTTTCTGTACAGAGAATGATAGACAAAACTTTGGAGTTTTAGTCTATAAATTTTACAAAGCTTAATAAGTAACTCCATTGTGTCTGACAATAATGTCTTAATCCATATTTGCTAAACCATATATCATATTTATGTCTTTAAACAAATATCATTTAAAATAATGTCCACAATTAGAGGATCAATAAACAAGTCTGAGAGTTGAAATTGCACAATTGCTTTCTCTGCCTAGATAGAAGTCAAGATTATATTTCTGATGAGTTAAGGGCAATGTTGGGAGTTACTTCTGTAACAGGCTTGAAAATGAACCTTATAAGATGTTGTTGATATGTTGACAGTCTGAATTTTCGTAAACAATGCAAGTTTTACCCATTTCAATGAAACTGGGTTCATTGTCCTATCATCTTCAAGAGAATTTACTATTCCTATATGTTGTCAGCCAGTCTACTATTTAACTATAGCTTTATCTTAATAGATATGAAATTGCATAACTAAGTTGAAAGCAGCTTTTGGTAACATTCAAGATATTTTATAACTATCATTTAATATGTGGTATATACTATAACTTCTTGGTTGGGGGAATTCACCTAATACACCAAGAATTATTCCCATTGCTTTCAGGACTCTAGAATGAGAGGACAAAATCGAATATTTTTCTAAATGGTAAGATATCTTATATATAATAAATATGATTTCTCTTCTTACATCAGATATACATGATTTTAAACATCCTAAATTCTTGATTTGAGAAATTATACTTATTTACTATGTGTACATATCTCTTTATGTGAGCAAGGCATGCAGTGAACATCAGAGAACAGCTTCAATAGTAAGCTCTGTTCTACCATGCAGATCCTGGGAGTCGAACTCATGTCCTCAGGCTTGGTGGCAAGGACCCTGACTCATTGAGCCATCTCACTAGTCCTCCAAATTATTGATTTCTTTTTAAACCTGCGGTCATCTCTAGTAGTAGAGTATATGATAAAAACTGATAACCAAATATAATAAAGACACATTTTATACCAGTATATCATGGAAAAGGCATGAGATAAATTTGCTGGAAAGAATAAGCCAGGAAATGAAATTTAATTTCATAGGAAGCCTAAACAAGACCCAAGGCAGTCTAGAGTGGCAAGGGCTGTAAAGACTTTACCTATGAAGTTAAAAATAACTTCAAAGGAAGGACAGCTAATTCTGTTTATGTAATCGGTTTATATTGCTCTACAGCTTGTTGGTAAAAGTAGCTTTGAGTACTTAGAGAATATATCTTTATCCTTTCTGTGTTCCAATTAAAAAAGTGTTATTGCTTCTTTTTGGAAACTAGAGCCTTGGAGTAATTTTGAGGTCTTCCGGGTGTCCACAGTCCCAGAAAGGAAAGATTAGACACCACTGTCCGTCAGAATGCTGCACTGTTTCATGACCAAGAAGACAAGCAATAATCTGAGGCACTGACAGTTGGTAACTCCTCTACTGTTAATGTCATCAGAGAATACATGTCTCAAATCTGTTCTCTGTGTTTTCAGACCCACAGCGGCTCTGAAACCCAGCATATCCTTTCCAGTCAAGTTAATTTATTCATCCATCCATAAACATTTATAGAATGCCTGCTTTGGGCCAGGCATGGTGCTAAGTGCTGCTATGACGTTGTTCTCACTTCAACATTGAGCAGGGAAGATTCTTCATGAGTTATGAGAATCTGTTTGCAATTCTTCTGTGGGATCCCCAGAGTATACTAGGAGATTAGAGGCCCCTCCAATGAACACAATATCCTGCCAGTCCCTGCCATGTGTGCCATTTGTCATTGACACAATGACAGTCATTTTACACTATAGTTTCAGCTGTGGAAACCAAGGAGACTACTGGGGGAAGGGCAGCATTTTCTCCAGGAGACTTTATGTTTCCTGGTGCTTGATCGGAAGCTACATGAGGAAAGCTGTTTCTTCTTCACCTAGCAATCCAGAACACTGCCGCCTCCATTCCCTACATGGAGAACACTGGAGGAAGAAAAGATTAAAAAGTTTATTTGGCCTATGACACTGGTTACAAATAGCAAGGTTACACCATTTGGAAAGGGAGGGCATTGTGGCTGGGTAGCCGTGTGTGTGTGTGTGTGTGTGTGTGTGTGTGTGTGTGTGTGTGTCTGTGTCTGTATCTGTGTCTGTGTCTATCTCTGTATATGTGTGTAAAATAAGATAAAAGTAAACAAAGAGGAAGAGACTAGCTTACTAACTTTATTTATTATTTGTTTAATGTGTTTGTATGTAACTGTCTTTGACTACTTTGTGGGTTCTTCTTTCTTCCACCCTTCTCTACCCCTTTTCTTCTACCTCTCAACCCCCTAACATGAGATTGGAGAGAAAAAAGGAGAGAGGGGAAAGGGAGTGACGTTATAGTTAGACTACTTCCTGCTAATTAGGGGCATCAAGTTCCTTGGGGCAAATTTGATCTTAGCTGTCAGAATATCTAATTTCTTCTTCTTTTTCCTTTGTGCATGACTACTTAACCACTACTAACAACAACCAACCAACGACCTATACCACCTCTGGAGCCATAGCATTGATACACCCTATGAAAAGTTCCCAAAATGTCAAACATCACAGAAACTATCTACAGGTGGCAGAACCATGCCTCTGCTAGAGCACGAGGCAAATCATAGTCAGGTGCTGCAGATAGTCCAAAGCAGCCCTATATCCCTATAACTGAGATTAAAATGAAAGCATATTCCTATAACTATAATATTATGGTAACTACTATATAAAATATAATTATAAAACATATTACTCTGTGTTTTTTATAGAAACCAAAGTTCTCACTACATATGTGTGTGGCCCTGAGTGTTTGAATATGTACCACGTGTGTGCAGAAGTCTGTGGAGTAGTGGGAAATAGGAGTTACTGTCAATTATGAGCTTCTTGTGGATGCTGAGAACCAAACCTGGGCCCTCAGTAAGAGTAGTGCATCTTCTTCACCATTGAGCCATCTCTCCAGCCCTAGCACACCTCTTCTTAAACAACACATCATCTTAGAAAATAACCTACTCCTGGGACATTCATCCTCTAAGCTCAGCCGTCATTAGTTCCCTCATAGAATTGTCCTGATCCAGTCATTCCAACAAGGACCCTACTCTTCAAGGTCTCAAGCCCCCTTTCATACTGTTAAATGTGGGGGATCTGCCTCAGTCTGTGTCTTCAGCCCACAGCATTCCTTTGGTACCCTGGGGTATGTATTCCGCTAGAGTTCTTTTCTCTTCCTGAAATTAATGAATACAGAGGCCATCCAGATGCTCATAACAGGCATTCCATTTCCTGCCATGATGCTTGTGCGTGCTCACTACACTCAACTCTTTTCCTAGTTATTAGCCATTTCTTCTAGTTGGGGATGTACCTTCATGATGGAGCCGTTGCCTGGCATGCTGAAGGCCTTGAGCTCCATCAACACTGCAAACAACAGCAACAAATTCTGCGAATCTCAGTCAGTCACTTCAGAGGACATCCTTTGTCATGAAAGCATTCATTGAGAACCTGATTAAATTGCAAACTCCTTGTAGACAGGAGCCATGTTTACTTTTACTTTGTCTGCCAGAAAAGTACTGATCCAGTTTATTACTGTTGAGTCCTGACAAACAAACCCAAATCTTAACATTTTAGGAAATGACAAATAACCAAGGATTGTCGGACGGCCTTACTGTGGAATGCCCTGTCCTTTGGAGAAGGCAGGTGCCATGATGCTGGGTGATACCCTCTTCTTTTCATGCTCTTATGTCACAGCAACTTGGCTCCATCGCAATTAATCTTGTGTGGCAATGCAGTGACGGTGGGATGATTTCTCTAGAGGATCTATGGTAATACTATTAAAATGCTCTTACAATGTCAGAGTGATTGGCGCAGAGCATGCGGGGACTGTGCTTATGTGATTATGATATTGTAGCGACGGGCGATTACCATAGGAAACTACTAATTCAACCCTGCAGGGACTTGCATTATGAAGCCATTATAACATGAGATTATAATGACACAATAACTTGGATGCACATTCGTGATGTGAAAACTAAAAGCTAATTGGAATGCAAGTACCATTTCCATTAAATTGTAATTAAACACTGAGAGCAATGCTTGTTTAAATTTGAGATGGAGACGTACAATTCAGAAAGGAAAATTGCGGGCTTTAAAAAAAAACATGCATGTTGAGCATAAGCTTAAAAAAATGTTTAGGGACTGTTTTCAACTGTACCTCTTAGTACTACCTGCATGGAGTGGCTTCTCTCAGAAAGCATCATCAAGAACTGAGACCAAGCATCCAATCCACGGTACTGGCTCCAGTTGCCATGGTGTCACTACCAGCAACTCACATTCCCAACTCCCTTGTTTCTTTTCTCCTGTGGACATCATACTTTATTTTGCCAAGTAGAAGAGAGTGAACCAATCTATTTTTTTTTCACAGAAAATTACGCATGTGCATATGTACGTATGTATATGAACTCAAAACTATCCCACGTTTGTTTGTTTACTTATACTTACTTTTTTGTGATCCTGGTGGTTGAACTCAGGATCTCATGCATGCTAGGTAGGTGATCTCTAGCCACAAAGTAATCCGTGTTTGAAAGAGGTAAGAACAAAGGAAAAAAGGGGTTGTTTTTTTTTAAATCGCTATTAAAAAATCCCATCCTGAGGCTGGACAGATGGCTCAGTGGTTAAGAGTGGTTAAGAGCACTGACTACACTTCTAGAGGACCCAGGTTCAATTCCCAGCACCCACATGGCAGCTCACAACTGTCTGTAACTCCAAGACCTGACACTTTCACACAGGCATACACACAGGTAAAACAACAATGCACATAAAATAAATATATATTTTTTTAAATAAATAAGACCCGTGATTGTAGCTCAGTGATAGTGTGAGCTTAGCTGGAAAATTGATCTCCTGCTTTTCTGGAGCTGAGGCCTGAATGCAGGACCTTGCACTTCCTAGGCAAGTGCTCTCCCACTGAGCACTTAAAACCTCTAAATTAAGGTCTGAAGGAGCTGAAGGAGTTTGCAAGCCCATAGGAAGAACAACAATATCAACCAACCAGACCCCCCCACCCCCAGAGCTCCCAGGGACTAAACCACCAACCAAAGAGTACACATGGAGGGACCCATGACTCCAGCTGGTATGTGGCAGAGGATGGCCTTGTTGGGCATCACGGGGAGGAGCAGCCCTTGGTCCTGTAAAGGCTCGATGTCCCAGTGTAGGGGAATGCCAGGGTGGGGAGGCAGAAGTGGGTGGGTGGGAACACCCTCATAGAAGCAGGGGGCCAGGGATAGCATAAGGGGATTCGGGTTGGGGGGGAAACTAGGAAAGGGGATAACATTTAAAATGTAATTAAAGAAAATATCTAATAAAAAATCCTACCCCCAGCAATGACTAAAAATTCCCACCCACCCTGCTGCTGGAGATGGAACCCAGGAATCTTTTGCATGTTAGATATGCATTTTATACAGACATTCCCTCAGGGTCCTGTTTTCTGTGCCTAATGTCTGCACCTTTGTTCAAAAATTTACATTTGTAACACTTTTATAATTATTTATTCCTTCCTACCCTTTCCTGCTGTGAAGTCTGTTTCTTATCCAAGAGAATTCAGTCAATAGGTTCTTGTTTGTTTGTTTTTTTAAAGGTCAGCTCAAGCTGGACAATTTTGCGTGTCACCTGGGAAGCCATGTTTTACTATTAGCAAATGATTTTTGGAGGAGCTTCTGCTCTGTGACAGGAGAAATTCAGGGCGGATTCTTCAGGGTGCATCACCAACAACAAAGGTACTTACTTAAATCTGGCAAAGGTACTTACTTAACAGTGCCTCCTGCATCGGTGAGGAGGAACTGACTTCTAATTTGGTTTCAATCCATACTTGTTACACGGCTTAGGTAAACACAAAACCGGAACACGGAAAAGCAGGAAAACTGAGGAGCTCCAGAGCCTTTTAGACGCTCAGCTGTGTTAGCTTGTACAAGATGTTATAAGGACATAGAGATGCTTCTTGCTACTCATTCCTAATTATGACTCCAACTGGTTATTGCTTCTTGGTTTAAATATAGTTGAGATGGGCTTTTGTTGTTAAGCATTTAGTTTGCATTTAGCTATGCTGTAGGCTTTAGGGTTATTTTTATTATTGCTTCTTGCAACAACCAAATTAAGTAGGTGAGTCTAAATTACTAAAGTCCTTGTTTTTATAATTAGGAAAAAGATAACACAGCTATCCAGTGGCTGCTTCATGGCACCCCAAGAGCAGTACAGTTGGGATTTGGTTGTCCTAGCAGTGTTTCTAGAACAATAAATGATATTTTCTTTGGAGTAGCACTTCCATATTAAAGAAGACCATGGGAACCCATTGTGATGGTCATAGCAGATGTTTCTATGGCTTAATAAAAAGATTATGAGGCTGAGAGGCTGGGAGACTCAGTTCTGGTTCAGATTGCTGGATCTTTGAAAGAGCAAGGATTCAGTTTTCATATACGTAAAACAAAGACATGGAACTGAAATACCTTCGTAGTCCCTTTCAGCCTAAAAACTCTTGAGCACATAACATTTAGCGTTGATTGAAACTCAGACATCATCATTGTAAACACAGATTTTTTAATACATAATAAAAATATCCAATATTTTTGTTACTTTAAAATCATTGATCTAAATTCAAAACCATACTTTACTTGGATGGCATTTCAGATCTGACATGTTTTGGCAGCGGATTTGTGATTTGACTTAAAATAACTTTTTTTTTATTCAAGAAACATAGTAAAATTCTTAAAGTTACAGACATAAATCAAGTCCAAAAAAAAAGAGATTAAAATTATAGTCCTTAGGCATTTTGGCGATTTTGATAAAATGAATTTTAAGCTGTAACTAAAGGAACTTTCTGTTTAACAATTGTTTAAGAATATCGCTAAATAATTATGTTCAATAATAAGAATAAATAAGTATGTGAGTCTACAACATCTTAGGAAACAGTAATAAAAATGCACAAGATAAAAATATTGTGCTTAAAAAAGTTTTTCAAGATTGGTGTGTGTGTGTGTATGTGTGTGTGTGCGCACATGTGTGTGTATATACATGCGTGTGAGCATCTGTCTCTGTGTATATGTGTGAATCTGTGTGTATGTCTTGTGTGCATGTGTCTGTGTGTATGCATGTATGTCTCTGTGTGTATATGTGAATGTGTCTGTATGTGTGTGTCTTTTATGTGTGTATGTTTTGTGTGTTTGCATGCATGTGTGCACATGTGTCTCTGTGTGTATATATGTATGTGTGTATGTCTTGTGTGTGTTTCTGTGTGTGCACATGTGTCTCTGTGTGTATATATGTATGTGTGTATGTCTTGTGTGTGTTTCTGTGTGTGCACATGTGTCTGTGTGTATATGTGCATGTGTCTGTGTATACCTTGTGTGCATGTGTCTGTGTGTGTCTATATATATGTGTGCCTGTGCACTACATTCATGTAGTGCTCAGAGGAACAGAGGAGGGTGCTGGATCCCATGACTGGAGTTACAGGTGATAAAGCAGTTAGGGTCCTTAATTTTCTTCATAAGAAGCTGAGTTGATTTATATAAGATTATTTATAAGAATTTCACGTAAGTATGCTCTGCAGAGCCTGAATTAGGGCTGACACCAGCATAGCAAGGGAAGAAGTAAAAGAAAGGACTTGTTCAGTTTTCTAGTCTGCAATACGCCATTTTCTGTTGCTATAGCAAAATATATGAAAGTGGGTGATTTGCAGAGAAAATAAATCTACATAGCTTGTAGTTTTGGAGGTTCAGTAGCATGACCCCAGGGTCTGCTTGATTTGGGTGTGGATCCCCATGACTGTTACATTATCATGCGTGCTATCATGACATCATTGTAACTGGAAAAGATCCCTGGTGAGAGAGAAAACCAGAGAGACTAGGAAGGCACCCGGTTTCCTCATTGACACAACCAACATATACTAATTAACCTAGCTCCTAAGAGAACTCCCCACAATGAGCCAATCATTTCCACCAGGCTCCATCTCTTAAAGGACATGCTTCTCACATTGGCATAATGAGGACCAGGTTCCCAATTCATGAAGGATTCATTTAAACGACAGCCAAACCATGCCATAGTCTTTCCAATGTCTAGCCCTATAATCTGTACTGTATGTGCAACAAAAACCAACCCTACCCCTAATGCATCCCCTCGAGACCAGGGTGTACACACTCATTTCCCTGGAGCTGAAGTTAACATGAGATAGAAGACAGATAAGAGCTTCTCTAGTCAGATGAAGTCGCACAAGCTACTTGTGCTGCGTAGTCTTGGTTGACAAGTTGAGTGGATTAAAGATTGTTTTGGTGGTGGGTAGAGCACACTGTTGGGGTGTCTGCATGGGCCTTTTGGGGGATGATACATACAGCTTAAGGGCTTTGGCATTGTGAGTGGATTGATCCCCTGTTGGATAACTATTGTAATGGTATTAATGGGTGGTGGTAAAATGTAGGAAGTGGAACCTAATGGGAAGAAGTTACAGTCTGCCCTGCTCTGTTCATGCTCCCCCTGCTTCATGCAGTGGGGAGAACAGTCTCTGCCACAGGCTCTGTCATGATGATCTACCTAAGTGCACAGGACCAGGAAACCATGGAAGGAGTTCTCTGAAATCAGGTGTTAAAATAAATCTCGACTATTGTAAATTCTTCCTGTCTGGTATTTTGTCATACTGAAAAAAAAAAAGGGGGTGGGGTCTTTAAGACACTTTCCATAAGCAATCAATCAAAGCTGATAGGTTGTGTACCACACGTTGGGATTCATGTTCTGTGTTTCTTTTCCAAGAGCAAAATGAGGACTATTCTCTTTGGCACACATGTTAAGTCTTTATTAATAAGTGTTGGTTGACTTTCAAAAGACTAGCCTCACAGGTCATGCCTGTGATACTATTTTTGAAGGTCTCCCAGGGGACGCCTCCAGAGCCTGCAGCAGTGTGCTCTGCCTTTAGTGAAAATGGACTGTAGCTTCTCATCCTTGTCTGAACAAGAACTCCATTTCCTCATTGCTGAAATGGGAGCAATAATAAGTGGGCTTCATCTCAAAGCACATCCTGTGGTCTAGTCGTCCACTCTTGGGTACTTTTCCATGACTCACCTTCGTCCCTTGCCTGCTTGCCCTGGACATTAGGAGACTTAATTAAAGTGTGCAGGAGTGTCTTGAGCTCTTCAGGGAAACCCCTGAAATTATTATTGTAAATAACTGTTTTGATGCTCAGTAAGCTCTTAAAGGCAATGAAACTAGCTATATAGAAAGCTGGGGTTATAATATAGTCTTATGAAAATACATTCATTTGTGTAATGCCATATTCATGAGTGGGTTTTGAGTTCAGAGTTGAATTACTGGGAACTTTCTGGCCATTCTTAGTGAGTTTCTACCACCACTAAGTAACACGTTTCAGAGATCACTTAAGTAGCCAAATAGTGCAGGTTTGAGTCAGATTTTAAGATTTAGCAGTTTGTTCTTATATGATAATCATTTCAACACTTTTCCATGTTAGCAGAAAAAGAAGAGGGTGCCTATCCAAGCTGGTTTGTACACTGAAATGTTGCCCCTGAGGTACATGACAAATCCTTTAGTGTCTTTTCCTAACTTGTCACTCCGGCATTCCTCTCTCCAGCATTCAGTCCATGCCCTACTCTGCTTATTTGGTTGTCATTCCAACACAGGGCTCATCTTTGGGACATGCCTATGGGCCATCGCTTTTCATAATGAACCAGGCATGTAGTCCATGAAGAGACCTTCCAGGCTGCTTGCAAGTCCCCATATTCCTTTTTTGCTCTTGCCAGGTTCCCCCTCCTACTCCTCCAAGCCTTCTTGGCACCTCTCCTGTTGGTGATTTTTGCCCAGGCACACCCAACAGGGAATCTGCCTAGCATCTCCTTCCTGATGCCTGTGTACTGTACCATTTTGTGGATTTCTTATTAATATAAACAATCAATAAACTTTCCATTGGTGCTTGCCATGTGCCAGCACTGTGCCATAAGTTCTGCGGCTTCCTGATGGTAAGATTATCACTTTCATCTTCACTTTCTTTAATATCATCTATTGGACATGGGAGATCCTCAGCTCCATGGAGTTGAAATGTATTCAGGTAAAAATTGTTATTGTCTGGAAATCCTGACTTCCTTATGCTGCCATCTCAGATGGTATGGACTTTGATGTCAAGGTATCTGCTATAAATTATAGCAAAGCTTCTTACTGTCTTAAGACTAGCAATGGCTGGTGATAAGCCTGCAAAGACAACATAATACTAAAGAAAGCATATGCCTAAAATACATGCCATTGGAATGGAACTGAAAGACAGAAAATGTAAGACTAAGTATCAGCTCTTTGCTTATTGAGTGCCTATTAGTTGCTAATCACAGTTATAGCTCAGCACTGGCATCTACAGATCTGAGAGCAGGAATGGACTTCTAGTAGTTATCAAAGTAAGGCTAGTTTCAAGTCTCTCTCTCTCTCTCCCTCGAATTGAACATGCCATAATATTGTCTAGTTAGGAAGCAGCCAAGCTCCCAGATCAAGAGGACAAAGGCTGGATGGGATCTTTAAGGCTCCCCCCGTGTCTCTTAGACGTTATTCTCTATAACCATGCTGTTTTGTTTTTTGTTTTGTTTTGTTTTGTTTTCATTTTACACCAAACCGGCTTAGCCTGACTACCTAAAACCATGTAGCTGGCACTTATTCGTTATGAAACTCTAAATTAGCTAAACAGAGTAGCAATTCTCAAGCCTTTTCAATCTCATCTTCAAATTAAAGGATGTGGGAA